TGGTAAACAAATTACGTCATTATATGTTTATCATGTGATCGTCGATCACTGAGTTAACTGTTCTTCAAGTGTCCCAATACTTTGATAGTTATTAGCTTTGTTTTTTTTTGTTTTTATATTAAAAAAAAAACTACAAAAATGAATTTTCTAAAGTCCCGGACAAAAAAAAATTATTATTTTTTGACCAATCATCATTCTTGTTTTTTGACCAATCACCGTAATTTACCTCTGCATAAAAAGATTTAGCTCGAATAAGGTTTCAACCGCCCCCTAAACACACTTAATTAAATAAAATATATTTATCATGAGCGATGAAAAGGTTACTACCGACATTATTACGTTGACTCGACATGTTCTTGACGAGCAACGTAGACATAAGGAAGCCAGTGGCGATTTAACTTTACTATTGAGTGCCATTCAACTTGGCTGTAAATTCGTAGCTGCCAATGTTCGAAGGGCGCGGTTATTAAATCTGTAAGAATTTATTTTAAACGGTCGAATTTTCAGGCTGTCATTTGCCCAAAAATAAAATTCATAAATTCATATCAAGTCTCGGTATTACTTGGAGCTTATAAATTTATTTTTTATCAGAATTGGTCTTGCTGGCGGTACACAAAATATTTCGGGTGATGAACAAAAAAAACTTGACGTTATCTCAAATGAAATTTTTATCAATGCACTTCGTTCTTCTGGAAAAGTAGCCGTGATGGTTTCTGAAGAAGATGAAGATGCAATCATTGTTGAAGAAGGATTGAAAGGGAAATATTGTGTAGTGTTTGATCCATTGGACGGTTCTTCTAATATTGATGCTGGTGTTAATGTTGGTACAATTTTTGGCATCTATCGTGTGGTAAGTTATTACTTTTAAATTTCCATTTTATGACATTACAATTTTGTACATCGAATAATCTTAGTGGTTATAAAAGGATGAAGGATCATCCGGGACAGTCAAGGATGTTCTTCGCCCCGGTAATGAAATGGTTGTTGCCGGTTACTGTATGTATGGTAGTTCGGCAAACATGGTTCTTACGGTCGGAAATGGAGTGAATGGCTATACCCTTGATAATGTAAGCTCTAATGTGATATTTTGTAAATGAAAATTGATAAATTCTTATTATGGTTAGTTTTATAGGGTATTGGTGAATTTATCCTTACTCATCCAGATGTAAGTATATTTCATATATATAGATTTATGTAATTAGCGCATGTGCGTTATAACGCACCCATCCGAGTAAGATCAGGTGTAACGTGAAATCTCTAAAGCTCAATTTTGGCAAAATTTTGGGGTAGGAACGTTTTTGTTAATGCTTTACCCAATCCTATCTTAGTGCTAATCCTTACCTTCGCAACTGGCTCACGTTACACCGGATCTTATGGGTGCGTCACAACGCACATTCTTTTATGTAATAACTTCATTTTATATCAATTTCTTTTAGATCAAAATTCCATCTCGTGGCAAGATATACTCAGTGAACGAAGGTAATACAAAGTACTGGAATGAAGCTTGTCAAGAATATTTTCATTCGCTTAAATTTCCACCGGAAGGTAAAAATCCATATTCAGCCCGTTATATCGGATCTATGGTAGCAGATGTTCATCGTACACTTTTGTACGGTGGAATCTTTGCGTACCCTGATGATAAAAAATCCAAAAATGGAAAACTTCGTCTGTTATACGAATGTTCTCCTATGGCCTTTCTGGCAGAACAAGCGGGCGGTAAAGCCACTACCGGTCTTAAAAGAGTGCTCGACGTTGTTCCTGAAAGTATTCATGCTAGGTGTCCGATCTTTTTGGGTAGTAAAGATGATGTAGAAGATGTTGAAAAACTTTATAAAAAGCACTCGAAATAATGTGTTAATACAATTAATTAGAACAATAGATTTATTTTTCATCTTATTGATTTTGCACTATTTAAGAATGTCAAATATAATATGTAATGAATAATTTTTTAGCAAATTATTTTTAGTTGTACATTCTTTTGGGAATTTGAATTCTTTGATGCTCTAATAAGTAGATATATAAAAATTTTTTATAAATTTGAAATTTTGTTTCAAAGTTTTGCGGAATTTGACTCGGCCGGATTTGAATTTATTATGGCCTTCGTGTTAGGGTTATAATTAGTGATATTAGTGATGTAAACTTAATTAAATAATTTGGCATTATGATATCTAAAAATTATATTTGTACAGTGTAACGTATGCACTATAGAAAGTTATTATTCAATTTTTGTAATTTTAGCATTTAACATCCCTAGTTAATTCCTAGTTATATATATAGGTATATAAGTGATTTTTCACGTAACACCTGATCTTGTAATTTGATTGGTCAATCTATGACCGTATAGTAAATTGTGAAGAGCAATCCAGGTAACGATAATAACACCGCTCTCGATGTAGTGGTAGTGAACTTTTAAAACAGTAGTAAAACTAATACGTAGGATCAAAAATCCCGTTTAATTGTTTTCGTAATTTATGCGAAATGTTAATTACGTAATGCTAATTTCTAATTGGTTGATTGAACAAAATATTAATATAAGGCACTGCGGCACAAATCCTATACGTCTTTTAAAGATTGCACCTAACTAACTAACTACAACTCTGCAATGGCTCTCAAACGTATTCAGAAGGTAAAGTGTTTGATCCTAGCGATGCAAGCTATATTTTCTTTGTGCTAAAATTTTTCAATCCGTCGCTTTAGGAACTTGCAGAGCTTAACAGAGATCCTCCAGCTGGGATTAGTGCTGGTCCTACTGAAGAAGATATATTCAACTGGACAGGTGAGAGATTATATATTTTTTTTACCTTCCATATGCTGATTTGTATCTTTACTAAATTTCTTTATAATTAGGCACCATTTTGGGACCTGTAAGCTGTTACCACTTTATAAATTTCAAAAGCGTTTAACCCCTAGTGGATAATAAAATTTTTCGTTCTTACAGGCAAACAGTCCCTACAAAGGAGGCATTTTTAAGCTCAAGATTGAGTTCTCCCAAGATTATCCATTTAAACCACCATCCGTATGTGCCGTCTAAGTGCTACTCTTTTTTTGCTTTCATAGTTCTTTAATCGTGTTAATGAGCTCTAATGTTTTTTCAATTTTTTAGGTCAAATTCATCACCAGGGTATATCATCCAAATATTGATGATGACGGTTCAATTTGTGTGAATTTGTTGAAAACGGATGTATGGAAACCTGCCACTAAAATCTCCCAAGGTTTTTATTTTATTTTATTTTGCTATTTTGTATTTATACAATGAATATTATTTAAGTTTCTTTTCCTTATAAGTTCTTAAAGCCATCGCGGATCTTCTCGAAAACCCAAATCCTGATGATGCGCTGGTAGCTTCTATTGCAGAGGTTTATAATACAAACAAACCAAAATTCGTCAAAACCGCAAAAGACTTCGTAAAAAAGGTTCGTTATTTGCTTGATGCTTGCCCAGTTATTGTGGTCAACTAAAGTTCACCTTTTTTTTTTCTTTTTACATCTACATAACAGTACGCTTCCTCATAAATAGGGTTGCAATCTAAATCTTTTTTTAAATTACGGCATAACTACTTAGTTTGGGTTTGGGAATCGGCATTTCTATTTAATTTGGGTTCATGACCAAAAATTAGATATATATCCCATTTCGGTAAATAGTGTCAACTTCAAAAACCACCGATTCATTAAATAAATATGCGTGCATTTGATAATGTAATATTAAAATCTTAAAAATTTAAAACTTTTGATCAAGTATGTCCAGATTCGAAGATTGATTCTTAAAGATCTAATTTAAATTATTAGATAATACCAGGACGTTGTGTGATCAAAGAAATATATTTCTATTATATATATATAAATAGACACTACATTGAACTCTAACTGTAACGTGGCCTATTAACTTTAATTTTTCACGAAACCTTGACATTTGTTACTATCACGTTACACCTGATCTTAAGTTTTTGATTGGGTGCTCTGCTTAAAATCTGTTTTTAGCCATTATCTAATTATAAAGAAATGAGATACTATGCAGGAGTGCATTTTTCTATTGTTTTCCTTATCTCATTACTTGTAATCAAATAATTTGAGTTTATGTCTCATAGAAAGACATTTACAGTATCAGTGTTGGCCATAGAGATTGGAACCGCCTAAAAATTTTTTCAATCGTTCAACTATTTAACCGTGTTAATCGTTTAATTCAGCCGGTATTAAGATAATGTTGGCCCATGATAAACAAAATTCAGCCCGAAGCTATGGAATTATTTTTATACGGTTAAACGGTTTTAATCCATTTTTTGATATGACCTTGGCCATAATTATATTAAAATGCTATTGAAAAAATTTTTACTGTTATTCTTACTACATTAAAAAGTTACTTTTGTTAAGACTAATGATGCAGACATTTCTTGGGGTAGTGACTACTCATAGCATTACGCTATGACATAGGGTCGTACTCTGTGTTTAAATTCGATTTTGTGAAAAGCTTGTAAACAATAAAAACTCAAAAAAAAGATGCGTGATATGTATGACATAATAAAATCCGCAGATTCAAAAGAAAATTTTACTTGCGGAATTAATTTTCAATCCGCGCACCATACTCCGCACATATATTTAAACACTGGTCGTACTACCCCAACTCCCCAAAATTTTCCGCACTCCGCTAATACTCCGATTTTTTGTAATTACGTTATTGATTTTTTGATGTTGCTTATT